ATCAATTACGTACTCTTTAGTAGTTATAATGATCCTTGTTAAACAATTTATGTTAAATAATATTTTTAAACCTTTTGATAAATAGGTCCTGCATATTTTCTGAGAGACTTTGTTTTAAAAGCGTATACCCCCATGAAGGAATTACTGACTGAAGTCGAATAACTGGTATAATTAGCTTGTGCTTGTTCCTATGTACATCACTATGTACACTGCCGGCCAAAAGCTTAAGACCATATACACTATCCAAGTTTGAGCTATTCGGTTCAAAACGAAGAATTTACGTTCGACGCAGTGACCAAGAAAAGATGATGCCAGACTGTGTAGTCCCAACAATCAAGCATGGTGTTGGCTCAATTATGGTCTGGGGTTGCTTTTCTAACTAAGGAACTGGTGATTTAATCAAAATTGACGGAATTGTGGAAAAGAAAGTACAAAAATTTTTAGAACAAAATGCCGTTCATTCGGGATTGCGATTAATTGGAGATGGATTCATTTTCCAACTAAACATAGCTCAAAATTATTCAGAGGATATTTGGAAGAGAAGAAGGTTTGGCCTCCTCAGAGCCCGGATCTCAATCCTATGGAACTTTTGTGGGAATAGCTTGATAGGAAACTCCGTAAATTGTGGTCCATCCTCGTGAGAAGAAATGTGGAATGCTTTGTGCGAAAGTTGGAGCAATATATCACAAGACACTAGCAACAAATTGATTGCCCGTATGCCGAAACTTGCGAAAAAAGTCATAGAATGCAAAGGAGGATTTTTTTAAAGAAAAATCAGTTTAGCTAGATGTAGTCTTTTTAGCATGCTCTGTTAATATTTATTTATGCTTTTCAAGTATATTGATTGTCAAAAGTGTTTTATTGGATGATTTAACAATTTAATTAAACATTTAATATTTTATTGGAGTTTTATTTAATTTTCCTACGTTAATTAATAAACTTTTGGCCTGCAGTGTAAATCACTATTTTTAATAAAACTATTTCTGTATAAATAAATACCACTGACTGACTGATTCATCACGACATGTAAAACTATACACGCGATTGACTTGAAATTTAGTATAGTTACGTTACTCATTACACAATGTAGACGCTTACTGAGATCGGAATTTACGATAGTCCCATCAAAAAAATGTTTTTGATATTTTATATCTAAATTCCGCAGTAAATTAGTATCAGCTAGTATTTCATAAACTAACACTGAAGCAGCGCGGCCCGAACTTGTACCCCCTCAGAAATGAGAGCAAACCTTTCTTAGTTTCGGGAGTATGCTGTAATTTTACTTTTTTTACTGTGGTTATACTGACTAATGGAAATAAATACCCAACAAACGTATGACACCAACCCAGGCGGGTTTAGTAAATTTATCAAGACTTGCCGTAACGGTCACGCTTTGCAGGCGGGTTGATTATCGCACAACTAGACGTTTCACTCCGTCGACGCTACACCCAATAACATCTGGTACAATGTGTAAAAATTACACTACTTATTTCATTCCTTTCACCATTAGACAACGAAACGTCTATCACCGTTTTCACGTGAATCTTTAAATATGCTTTCATAGTGTGGGGCAATGCAGAATACTGATGATAACCAAAATCGAGAGATATAGTTTGGTGGTACAGCTACATATGTATCATCTGTATCCAAAATTTATTTACACCACTCGATAGTCAAAGGCCAAAGAATTCGCCGTCATTTTACCATCTCGTAATGTACACGTTTTCACTTCACGCAAGACACACGCCGTTTCCACAACACGGCCACACCGCGATTATTTCTTTTCCATACATTATCGAAGTGACTAGCTTTAACGTTTGTAATGCGTACGGCAAAGCAGTGAAATTATCAATCAACGTCTGTTATACCATTCGATTTTAATGTCAACTGCATTATTTTATTTACTAAACTTTTATTTTTTCGTGGGGAAATCCTCATGGATTCCTTGCGCTGCGGAGGCAACGAAAAGGTTGTAGCGGACTCCTATCCACTAAAATCCGACGGTAGTCACCGTTAGCGTATACGAGAAGTTCTGGGATCTCCTTTCGGAACGCATTCGGGGCCCCTCCATCACTTTTTCACTATTAGTACGTCCCGGGGCAAACACCCAACTGCGCCCAAAACCCTCGCAGTAAAACTTTATTAAATCTTAAGGCTACAATACCGCTTTACCATAGATGGGTAAAACATCGGGTTCTGCTTATATTGTATAAATAATACATCATGTTTAGAGAACTATAATTGATTATTATTATTTAGCAGGTAAGCAGTTTAAACAACTGATACGAGCCTGTATCCAATTTTCAAATCTGTAGTAGTTCTAGTTTAGTTGTTTATCAAAGTAAGTGACTACCGCCGCCCATGAACAACTGCAACACCAGGGGAATTGCAAATGCGTTGCCGGCCTTTTAAAAAGTCCTAAGTCCCCAAGTTGTATCGGTCCGGAAAAATCGCTGGTGGTAATCGGTTCCACAAGGAAGTTGTGCGAGGAAGAATACATCTTCTAAATCGCACAGTGGTGGACCGATAATCATCCAGTTGGTATGGATGGTATCGCGAGTTTTGTTGCGATGTGCGATGGTGAAATTGAGCGGCTGGAGTTAGTCCGAACAATTCCTCAGAGCATTCCCCGTGGTACATGCGATAAATACGCAAAGTGATGCAACATCTCTACGCAGTGCCAGTGAGTCAATCCGATCAGAAAGAACTCTGTCGTTGGCAATTCGAACCGCTCTGCGCTGGATGCGGTCAACTAAAAGGAGCTGGCACTGGGGAGCCCCTGCTGAGAGATGGGAACAGTATTCCATGTGAGGCCGAACCTGCGCGTTGTAAAGTTGCAGGAGCCCGGATTAAATACTGTCCCGCTCTGCTGAGCACGTCAAGCTTTTTAGAGGCCAATTTGGCCTTCTCTTCCAAGTAACCACGAAACTGCACGTCACTCGATATGTCAACGCCGAGAATTCCGATACTGGCTGAGGCAACAAAGGGAGTACCTTGAAACTGAGGAGATACGACAAAGGGGTTCCTTTTAGCGGTAAAGGCGCAAACTTGTGGCTTCTGGGGATTGAACTGGACTAGATTTAGTCGCCCTCAATCCGATACTTTGTTCAACAAAGTCTCGACTTCAGACACAAGTTTATTCCGGTAATCGGCGACGTTTTCATGAGAAATACTAGCACGGCCGGTGTATAGAGCATCACCAGTGCTATCATCTGCATAGCAATGTATGTTACCGGTTTGCAACATATCATTGATATGCAGAAGAAACAGCGTTGGTGATAGCACGCAACCTTGTAGAACACCAGCGTTAATATGCTTGTAATCGAAGCACGCACGGTCTACTACGACCTTTATGTTCCGATCAGCCAGAAAACTGGTGATCCAATTGCACAATTTCTCGGGAAGCCCTTAGGAAGGAAGCTTCGACAGAAGCGCTTTGTGTCAGACCCGATCGAAGGCCTTCGCTATGTCCAAACTAACGGCTAATGCCTCCTTCTTGGACTCGATTGCCTGCGCCCATCTATGTGTTAGCAGGCCTCTGTCACTCTTGTTACCTGCGTGAAATAATTATCTACAATCGCGAGGTGCCCCAGGGGTAGATCGCAGTCAGGGCTAGCGCGCTCTAGGCGATTGAATGTTAAAGGTTTTTTAACGCTGTTTACGTAAATATTTTTTTATAAATACTTGTCGAAATAGTTTTTGTTTAGTGTTTAGTATATTTAATTGTAGGATAAAATAGTTGAAAAAGGTTTAATGTAATTTAAGAATAATATATATGTATATTACCTATTTATTTAATAAATTATAATGGCAAAACGTCGTTCCTACGATAATTATTGCGTTGATAGATGCCTAATGAGCAACTAAAAGGATTCAGATATATGAGTTTTTAAGTTACCAAAAGATAATTAAAGGTGAATTTATTTAATTTTTTTGTTAGAACCTATAGCGAAAAAATAAGTAATAATTTCATTACAGAAGTAATACCTAAGTACTTTATTACAAAACTTACTTGAAATTTACTTCACTACCCAAGTACTTACTTACGTACCTATACTCGTCTTTGTAATTAAAATATTTTAAGCTAGAATAGCACAAAATACTGAAATTAAAACTTTGTTTGCAAGATTTTCAACTAAGTAGGTTACGATCATATTTCTGTTAGGAATCGTATTTCGGGTTTATTTGTTGTTTCCGCTGTCTACGTATACGAACCAAGCATCGCGATTCCCGACGAATGGCCTTGCAAGTTGCATGCGTTGGGCATCATAGAACTCACATAGTAGATAATATGGTCGATTATAGTCAGCATAGGTACATACTTTACGTGAGAATTTTAGTTTCTTTATAGTGAGGAAAAAGAAATACGAAGCATTGTATCACAAGGCTCTGTTTTGGGACCAGTATTCTTTAAAATATTTGCCTTCGATCTCCCGAAAAGCTTGAGTTGCAAATTAATCGTGTTCGTCGGGAATATCTGCAAACCCACTCGTATACATTTATCACCTCCAAGCAGATTTGAGTAAATTATAAGATTGTTTAAAAAGAGTGGATAATTAACCCCCTCTGCACTGGTGTGGTCGCAGTGTTGATGCGGTGGGATTAGGTTCGCGGGAGGAGAGGAGAGTCAGTGGGTGCCGCTAACCCTACACTCTGGGGCCGATATTTGTTCGACGGCGGATCCATAGAGCAGATCTATTACTGAGGTTGGGAAGACAGGTGCTTGCAGGTACTCGTTCCTAGCCTCATGTCCTTGGGACGGAATCGAAGGAAGGCATATTTGCAGCGAAAGTAGTAAACCATGATATTTAACTCGGTGCGAGTCCCCGACATAATACGTTCTGGCCCCTGCGAGGAGTCCTTTAGGTATTAAATTTTATATTTATCATTGCACACCATACGAATATATATAGGTACAAATGTATAAATATGTCCTTATAAGTTTGCAACAATACAAGTCGGAGAACATCAATAAAAGTATGTACGTGTGTGTGGAACAGGGCATCGACCACGTGTTCTTGAGTACAGCGCGCGAGCTGGTAGCGGCGTCGCATGCGGGAGACTGCGCCATGCGCTCGTACGACGCGCCCGACGGCGACCCCGAGCGCCTGCCCTACGGTACGCGCTGCACCTGCCCGCCCGACCCACACTACATGCGACATACTGCTTCACTCCACCCCTCACTACATGCGACACACTGCTTCACTCCGCCACACACAACATGTGACATACTGTCTGCGGGAGACTGCGCCATGACCTCGTACGACGCGCCCGACGGCGACCCCGAGCGCCTGCCCTACGGTACGCGCTGCACCTGCCCGCCCGACCCACACTACATGCGACATACTGCTTCACTCCACCCCTCACTACATGCGACACACTGCTTCACTCCGCCACACACAACATGTGACATACTGTCTGCGGGAGACTGCGCCATGACCTCGTACGACGCGCCCGACGGCGACCCCGAGCGCCTGCCCTACGGTACGCGCTGCACCTGCCCGCCCGACCCACACTACATGCGACATACTGCTTCACTCCACCCCTCACTACATGCGACACACTGCTTCACTCCGCCACACACAACATGTGACATACTGTCTGCGGGAGACTGCGCCATGACCTCGTACGACGCGCCCGACGGCGACCCCGAGCGCCTGCCCTACGGTACGCGCTGCACCTGCCCGCCCGACCCACACTACATGCGACATACTGCTTCACTCCACCCCTCACTACATGCGACACACTGCTTCACTCCGCCACACACAACATGTGACATACTGTCTGCGGGAGACTGCGCCATGACCTCGTACGACGCGCCCGACGGCGACCCCGAGCGCCTGCCCTACGGTACGCGCTGCACCTGCCCGCCCGACCCACACTACATGCGACATACTGCTTCACTCCACCCCTCACTACATGCGACACACTGCTTCACTCCGCCACACACAACATGTGACATACTGTCTGCGGGAGACTGCGCCATGACCTCGTACGACGCGCCCGACGGCGACCCCGAGCGCCTGCCCTACGGTACGCGCTGCACCTGCCCGCCCGACCCACACTACATGCGACATACTGCTTCACTCCACCCCTCACTACATGCGACACACTGCTTCACTCCGCCACACACAACATGTGACATACTGTCTGCGGGAGACTGCGCCATGACCTCGTACGACGCGCCCGACGGCGACCCCGAGCGCCTGCCCTACGGTACGCGCTGCACCTGCCCGCCCGACCCACACTACATGCGACATACTGCTTCACTCCACCCCTCACTACATGCGACACACTGCTTCACTCCGCCACACACAACATGTGACATACTGTCTGCGGGAGACTGCGCCATGACCTCGTACGACGCGCCCGACGGCGACCCCGAGCGCCTGCCCTACGGTACGCGCTGCACCTGCCCGCCCGACCCACACTACATGCGACATACTGCTTCACTCCACCCCTCACTACATGCGACACACTGCTTCACTCCGCCACACACAACATGTGACATACTGTCTGCGGGAGACTGCGCCATGACCTCGTACGACGCGCCCGACGGCGACCCCGAGCGCCTGCCCTACGGTACGCGCTGCACCTGCCCGCCCGACCCACACTACATGCGACATACTGCTTCACTCCACCCCTCACTACATGCGACACACTGCTTCACTCCGCCACACACAACATGTGACATACTGTCTGCGGGAGACTGCGCCATGACCTCGTACGACGCGCCCGACGGCGACCCCGAGCGCCTGCCCTACGGTACGCGCTGCACCTGCCCGCCCGACCCACACTACATGCGACATACTGCTTCACTCCACCCCTCACTACATGCGACACACTGCTTCACTCCGCCACACACAACATGTGACATACTGTCTGCGGGAGACTGCGCCATGACCTCGTACGACGCGCCCGACGGCGACCCCGAGCGCCTGCCCTACGGTACGCGCTGCACCTGCCCGCCCGACCCACACTACATGCGACATACTGCTTCACTCCACCCCTCACTACATGCGACACACTGCTTCACTCCGCCACACACAACATGTGACATACTGTCTGCGGGAGACTGCGCCATGACCTCGTACGACGCGCCCGACGGCGACCCCGAGCGCCTGCCCTACGGTACGCGCTGCACCTGCCCGCCCGACCCACACTACATGCGACATACTGCTTCACTCCACCCCTCACTACATGCGACACACTGCTTCACTCCGCCACACACAACATGTGACATACTGTCTGCGGGAGACTGCGCCATGACCTCGTACGACGCGCCCGACGGCGACCCCGAGCGCCTGCCCTACGGTACGCGCTGCACCTGCCCGCCCGACCCACACTACATGCGACATACTGCTTCACTCCACCCCTCACTACATGCGACACACTGCTTCACTCCGCCACACACAACATGTGACATACTGTCTGCGGGAGACTGCGCCATGACCTCGTACGACGCGCCCGACGGCGACCCCGAGCGCCTGCCCTACGGTACGCGCTGCACCTGCCCGCCCGACCCACACTACATGCGACATACTGCTTCACTCCACCCCTCACTACATGCGACACACTGCTTCACTCCGCCACACACAACATGTGACATACTGTCTGCGGGAGACTGCGCCATGACCTCGTACGACGCGCCCGACGGCGACCCCGAGCGCCTGCCCTACGGTACGCGCTGCACCTGCCCGCCCGACCCACACTACATGCGACATACTGCTTCACTCCACCCCTCACTACATGCGACACACTGCTTCACTCCGCCACACACAACATGTGACATACTGTCTGCGGGAGACTGCGCCATGACCTCGTACGACGCGCCCGACGGCGACCCCGAGCGCCTGCCCTACGGTACGCGCTGCACCTGCCCGCCCGACCCACACTACATGCGACATACTGCTTCACTCCACCCCTCACTACATGCGACACACTGCTTCACTCCGCCACACACAACATGTGACATACTGTCTGCGGGAGACTGCGCCATGACCTCGTACGACGCGCCCGACGGCGACCCCGAGCGCCTGCCCTACGGTACGCGCTGCACCTGCCCGCCCGACCCACACTACATGCGACATACTGCTTCACTCCACCCCTCACTACATGCGACACACTGCTTCACTCCGCCACACACAACATGTGACATACTGTCTGCGGGAGACTGCGCCATGACCTCGTACGACGCGCCCGACGGCGACCCCGAGCGCCTGCCCTACGGTACGCGCTGCACCTGCCCGCCCGACCCACACTACATGCGACATACTGCTTCACTCCACCCCTCACTACATGCGACACACTGCTTCACTCCGCCACACACAACATGTGACATACTGTCTGCGGGAGACTGCGCCATGACCTCGTACGACGCGCCCGACGGCGACCCCGAGCGCCTGCCCTACGGTACGCGCTGCACCTGCCCGCCCGACCCACACTACATGCGACATACTGCTTCACTCCACCCCTCACTACATGCGACACACTGCTTCACTCCGCCACACACAACATGTGACATACTGTCTGCGGGAGACTGCGCCATGACCTCGTACGACGCGCCCGACGGCGACCCCGAGCGCCTGCCCTACGGTACGCGCTGCACCTGCCCGCCCGACCCACACTACATGCGACATACTGCTTCACTCCACCCCTCACTACATGCGACACACTGCTTCACTCCGCCACACACAACATGTGACATACTGTCTGCGGGAGACTGCGCCATGACCTCGTACGACGCGCCCGACGGCGACCCCGAGCGCCTGCCCTACGGTACGCGCTGCACCTGCCCGCCCGACCCACACTACATGCGACATACTGCTTCACTCCACCCCTCACTACATGCGACACACTGCTTCACTCCGCCACACACAACATGTGACATACTGTCTGCGGGAGACTGCGCCATGACCTCGTACGACGCGCCCGACGGCGACCCCGAGCGCCTGCCCTACGGTACGCGCTGCACCTGCCCGCCCGACCCACACTACATGCGACATACTGCTTCACTCCACCCCTCACTACATGCGACACACTGCTTCACTCCGCCACACACAACATGTGACATACTGTCTGCGGGAGACTGCGCCATGACCTCGTACGACGCGCCCGACGGCGACCCCGAGCGCCTGCCCTACGGTACGCGCTGCACCTGCCCGCCCGACCCACACTACATGCGACATACTGCTTCACTCCACCCCTCACTACATGCGACACACTGCTTCACTCCGCCACACACAACATGTGACATACTGTCTGCGGGAGACTGCGCCATGACCTCGTACGACGCGCCCGACGGCGACCCCGAGCGCCTGCCCTACGGTACGCGCTGCACCTGCCCGCCCGACCCACACTACATGCGACATACTGCTTCACTCCACCCCTCACTACATGCGACACACTGCTTCACTCCGCCACACACAACATGTGACATACTGTCTGCGGGAGACTGCGCCATGACCTCGTACGACGCGCCCGACGGCGACCCCGAGCGCCTGCCCTACGGTACGCGCTGCACCTGCCCGCCCGACCCACACTACATGCGACATACTGCTTCACTCCACCCCTCACTACATGCGACACACTGCTTCACTCCGCCACACACAACATGTGACATACTGTCTGCGGGAGACTGCGCCATGACCTCGTACGACGCGCCCGACGGCGACCCCGAGCGCCTGCCCTACGGTACGCGCTGCACCTGCCCGCCCGACCCACACTACATGCGACATACTGCTTCACTCCACCCCTCACTACATGCGACACACTGCTTCACTCCGCCACACACAACATGTGACATACTGTCTGCGGGAGACTGCGCCATGACCTCGTACGACGCGCCCGACGGCGACCCCGAGCGCCTGCCCTACGGTATGCGCTGCACCTGCCCGCCCGACCCACACTACATGCGACATACTGCTTCACTCCACCCCTCACTACATGCGACACACTGCTTCACTCCGCCACACACAACATGTGACATACTGTCTGCGGGAGACTGCGCCATGACCTCGTACGACGCGCCCGACGGCGACCCCGAGCGCCTGCCCTACGGTACGCGCTGCACCTGCCCGCCCGACCCACACTACATGCGACATACTGCTTCACTCCACCCCTCACTACATGCGACACACTGCTTCACTCCGCCACACACAACATGTGACATACTGTCTGCGGGAGACTGCGCCATGACCTCGTACGACGCGCCCGACGGCGACCCCGAGCGCCTGCCCTACGGTACGCGCTGCACCTGCCCGCCCGACCCACACTACATGCGACATACTGCTTCACTCCACCCCTCACTACATGCGACACACTGCTTCACTCCGCCACACACAACATGTGACATACTGTCTGCGGGAGACTGCGCCATGACCTCGTACGACGCGCCCGACGGCGACCCCGAGCGCCTGCCCTACGGTACGCGCTGCACCTGCCCGCCCGACCCACACTACATGCGACATACTGCTTCACTCCACCCCTCACTACATGCGACACACTGCTTCACTCCGCCACACACAACATGTGACATACTGTCTGCGGGAGACTGCGCCATGACCTCGTACGACGCGCCCGACGGCGACCCCGAGCGCCTGCCCTACGGTACGCGCTGCACCTGCCCGCCCGACCCACACTACATGCGACATACTGCTTCACTCCACCCCTCACTACATGCGACACACTGCTTCACTCCGCCACACACAACATGTGACATACTGTCTGCGGGAGACTGCGCCATGACCTCGTACGACGCGCCCGACGGCGACCCCGAGCGCCTGCCCTACGGTACGCGCTGCACCTGCCCGCCCGACCCACACTACATGCGACATACTGCTTCACTCCACCCCTCACTACATGCGACACACTGCTTCACTCCGCCACACACAACATGTGACATACTGTCTGCGGGAGACTGCGCCATGACCTCGTACGACGCGCCCGACGGCGACCCCGAGCGCCTGCCCTACGGTACGCGCTGCACCTGCCCGCCCGACCCACACTACATGCGACATACTGCTTCACTCCACCCCTCACTACATGCGACACACTGCTTCACTCCGCCACACACAACATGTGACATACTGTCTGCGGGAGACTGCGCCATGACCTCGTACGACGCGCCCGACGGCGACCCCGAGCGCCTGCCCTACGGTACGCGCTGCACCTGCCCGCCCGACCCACACTACATGCGACATACTGCTTCACTCCACCCCTCACTACATGCGACACACTGCTTCACTCCGCCACACACAACATGTGACATACTGTCTGCGGGAGACTGCGCCATGACCTCGTACGACGCGCCCGACGGCGACCCCGAGCGCCTGCCCTACGGTACGCGCTGCACCTGCCCGCCCGACCCACACTACATGCGACATACTGCTTCACTCCACCCCTCACTACATGCGACACACTGCTTCACTCCGCCACACACAACATGTGACATACTGTCTGCGGGAGACTGCGCCATGACCTCGTACGACGCGCCCGACGGCGACCCCGAGCGCCTGCCCTACGGTACGCGCTGCACCTGCCCGCCCCGACCCTTCACTCCGCCTCGTACTACATGTGACAGACTCTTACTCCGCCCCGCGCTACATGTGACACTGCCTCACCCCGCCCGCACTACATGCGACATACTGCCCCACACTAAATGTGACAGAGTGCCTTACTACGCCCCGCACTACATGCGATATACTGCCTCACTACGCGTCGCACTACATGCGACATACTGCCTCACTCCGCCCCGCACTACATGCGACATACTGTCTTGCGTCGCCTCTCACTACATGCCACATACTGCCTCACTCCGCCCCGCACTACATGCGACATACTGTCTTGCGTCGCCTCTCACCACATGCCACATACTGCCTCACTCCGCCCCGCACTATATGCGACATACTGTCTTGCTTCGCCTCTCACTACATGCCACATACTGCCTCACTTCGCCCCGCACTACATGCGACATACTGTCTTGCTTCGCCTCGCACTACATGCGACATACTGCCTCACTCCGCCCCGCACTACATGCGATATTCTGTCTTGCTTCGCCTCGCACTACATGCGACATACTGCCTCACTCCGCCCCGCACTACATGCAATATTCTGTCTTGCTTCGCCTCGCACTACATGCGACATACTGCATCACTCCGCCCCGCACTACATGCGATATTCTGTCTTGCTTCGCCTCGCACTACATGCGACATACTGCCTCACTCCGCCCCGCACTACATGCGATATTCTGTCTTGCTTCGCCTCGCACTATATGCGACATACCGCCCCACTCTACATTAAGGATTTTTTAGTGTTAGTAGTACTTAAATATCAAACATCTATTTTGAAATATGCTATGACTTGAATGTATTTTTTCGTAATATCGCTTTAAATGAATTGATACAAATAACGGATTTTATCTTACGTAACAGGCACGGCGACCGAGGAGCCCGCCACGCACACGGGCGTGGTGGAGCTGGCCGGCGGCGCGCAGCCCGCCTGCCACGGCGAGCCGCAGCGCGCGCTCTGCTGCTAGCTGCCACACCTGCCACCGGCGCCACACCTGCCACCGGAACCACGCCTGCCACCGGCGCCACACCTGCCACCGGCGCCACACCTGCCACACGCAGGCCCAAGTGTGTGCCGGTCGAATCGTCACGGCGCTACGCCTGAACAAATACTAAGTATAGATAATATGTACCTGCTTTGTGAAATCCTTATTTACATACTGACATTATACTTAACTAGGAATTAATTGTGACAAAACTTTATTACTCGAAATATATTTTATTCGCCCTTTTATTATAAATGGTTATAAAATTGATTTAAATACAATATAATACCACGGTATTGAAATTATCATCATAATATATATATATATATATATATATATATATATATATATATTAATTTATTTACAATAATAATAGGTACTACAAGCTACTACAGCTACAGCAGGGCCGGATTAACCTAACACATGTAAGCAACTGACTGTGAGCGTCGAATCATTAATTATAAGTTTACTAAAATCCAAAAATGTGCTCCCAAAGACATTCGTACGATACTATAAGGAGATATTTCTTTTTGAGTTTTTAGTCTGTAAAGCAATAGTTAAGTTTAAACATACTCGAATCATATTTAAAATATACTAATTTATCTTATTCGGTACACACGGTATGACATCTGAGATATATGTACAATACAGTCAGTCTTATTCAATAGTGCAGCAGTCACAACTGTAAATTTTTTGTTACACTTGGACTGTCAAGTTGTAGAGGCGGGTTCACACGTGACACTGTTTTTTATTATACTGTTCTGTTATCAAGGTCTAATTTAGGGTTAGGCATCAGGAGCTCTAGGCCCGGGGCCTTCACAAGGTACTCCAAAAGATAACAAAGACAAAACAAATAACAAAAATATCAAAATATACAAGACAATTTGGAACCAAGTCTTGGTAATGAGTTGGTCTAATTCTTTTCATTGATTGTTTTGCACAAAAATGATTATCAAAAAGATATCCATGGAGCGGAGACTAAAAGCAAAATTCATAGCTACATTAAGAATGTAATTGGTTTTGATAGGGTCGAACTGCATTCCTTTCACTTACCATTTATTTATATTTTCTTTTGTACATTTTTAGTATTTTATATATAAAGTAACGAAAACTTTGAAATTTTTTTTGTCAGTTCAAAACCTTTAAATGCGGCCCTGTTTGTTACAATTATAATTTATGTAATGTTTGACTGAAATTGAACTCAATACTTGCCACAACACGGAGCTTATGACTAAAATAAATGTATTTATAGGGTTAGTACATAATATATTATTGTATAACTTTCTAGTTATAAGTTTTTAAACATATACTCCACTAAAACTAAAAAATATGAAAATGTTGTTGATAAAATATTATGTTGTTTAAAAATATTTTTATAGAAATTGAACTGCTCGGCTTGCCAAGTGATTTTTTTGAAATCGTCGACACAACGTGCGTACGCGCATATGTATACGAGTACACGCACAGGTGCGCGTGCTGTGAAAGAAGTTTGTCTGCAATTATCTTATTTAAATGTATCCTGTTGCATGTTAATTTAGGCCTAAAGGACTTGTACGAGGGCGACACTGAAAGTTTTTAGAACTGGCCGACTGAACGATATAATAAAAAATTAAGTTCAAATTTTGAAAATAGAACTCTTTGCCAATATTATTGTGTATGTATTATTTGTCATTTGTTTACGATTTGGCGGCAAATTGAAAATTGTCTGTGTCACGTCAGCATGAATTTAACGCGTGAAAATTTTCGTACAATAATTTTTTATGACTCGATGACATTTAAGTCAACAAGAAATTTATGATAGACTTCCATTTGTCCTATCACAATGAAGCCCCATCTCGTGCCACTGTTTACAACTGGTTTAATGAGTTTAAACGTGGTCGCACTAATCTTACCGATGATCTGCGTGAAGGACGACCTTCTGCGGCTACGACTGAAGATAAAATCAGTGTTGTACGGCTTATGATAGAGACTGACTTATCAGCAGATTCGGACAAGCTTAGGCATCGGTATGAGCCAAGTACACAAAATCCTCCATGAACATTTAGCGGTCAGGAAGCTATGTGCCCGGTGGATACCTCATAATTTGACAGAAGCCTAAAAACTCCGTTGTGTTGATAGGTGGTAAAACCGAGTAACTGTCGTAAATGAAATTTAAACTGCGTGCCAGAAACACCAGCCCCCCCCCCCTTCCCCCTCCGCCCGAATCCTAAGTTGCGACGTAGTTTTGTTCTGTATTGCCCGTCTGGTAGTACACAGGATATCTTTGCTACATACTGCGTACACTTGTTTCAACGACTCACGGAGTTCTAAATATGATTGTCAAAGTTCATTATTTACTTTCATTCTTAATTCGAAAGAGGCTATTCATGTTTAATTTTTGGTACTGTTTTCAGCATTATCGACGCAATAATATTTTTATGCATCACTTTCTGAATATGTCTTAACAATGATAAATTATATTAGCATCACTTGTGTATCCAGTTGCGGACAATCTGTTACATGTGTGTTAGCATTCCAACTTGAGCTGAATGTTCTGATGCAGTACATACACATACCTATGTGACAATAAACTAGTGTGTGTGTGTGTGTGTGTGTGTGTGTGTGCGTGTGTGTGTGTGTGTGTGTGTGTGTGCGTGCGTGCGTGCATGCTAGCGTGTATGCGTGTGTGTACAGGGAATGACTACTAATTAATCTCTAATTTCACACCAGTATACTTTGTTGTTAACTAATTGCCATAAGAAAGGTAAGATTCGTCTAATATGTAAGAGTCGTATTTATAGATCAGTTACTTCATTAAGGACCTTTGTTTTACGTCACGGATAGCATCACAGGATGTTTATGCACATTTAGAAATTTCTGTTTCAAACACTTCTGTAACTAGTTTAGTTAAAGATAATTATTAGCAATTGTTTGGATAATAGTTAAAGATATTCATGAGTTAATGGCCGAATTAAGATACACACATAAAATTACAGTAAAACAATGTAATAATCTACGCCTATATACAGAGGGAGACAAAAATAATAATAATATGTTAATAATAATAATAAAGATTTATATAATAATAAATATTTGTTATTATTATTAACATATTATTATAAGTAAGTATTGTATCCATTTTTATCTCATTTCTAAAGCTAAGTAAATATTTTTTCTAATTGCTCAGCATATACTTACATGTACCTACTTATAATGTCGAATGTATGACAAATGTAAAATTGGCACATATAACACTATTTTAATGACAATAAATACTCTGGACTCTAAACAAGACTACAGACCTGTGTGCCTTGTAAATTGTAAGTATTTGATCCGTTTATTCGTTTAATATAGAGTTTGTATTTTGCACGACTATATATTAGAATTCTGATGTGTTCCAATATCTATTTAGAAGTATTATATAATAAAGATTATAGATTTTTTTAATTTTTTATATAAAAGTAAGCTTAAGATATGGCTGCATGGCGCAGATTGTATGTCCAACTGTATACCAACTTACTTGTTATAATATAAAAATACTTCCAGATGACATTAACTAGAAATGGGTTGCGATTTGAAGACGGCTACCATTAAATCCAAGCGGAGCGGAGACGAGACCTAGCACTCTAGCACAGCAAAATTCACAGTCTACCAAACGTAGTGTTTATAAATTATTATGTACATTTTCTAAATTCTAGGGTAGCTTGTTGGATAATAAAAAGCAAGCAATAATCCTTAACTCGTCACACACTTCGCCTCTGTTGAGGTCCGAACTGTACAAATGCTTTTCTCTTCGTCAGAGTAATTGAAGCGTATTGGTTGCCTAAAGACATCTCTGTCTCCGCTTTGCTAAGTCAACTCACTCCAGTATTCTCTTACTACCTACACAGCATCACAAACTTCGTGCCGTATTAATGTAATTGGCCTTTAAAAGCGTGTACGGCACTAATTAACCCTTGAATATGCGTTATTATGTATGGACGTGCAACGGTGACTGACAACGTTATACTCTGGAACAGTCCCAGAGTGAAATTGTATCCAGCAGCGTTACTTCACTATAAAAATTGTCACAAGTATTTTTATATGCAATGTCAACTGTATGCTACGTGATATTGAAATAAATGTTATTGTTTTCTAACTGCCTTTTCTTATTTATTTTATTGTCAATGGCTGCTAGGTGTCCTTCTCAGGCTAGGAGTACGTCTGGGTAGGTGCCATACTCTTTATTTTTTGCTTCTGTACATGCGCTGCTATTTGCGACAGCTGCGTTCCGGCCTGAAGGTTAGAGAGACAATACAATCATAGGCTGTCAGGCATTCCATCTTAGTCCTCAGAAGTGAACGCACCTGTAGACTCCTTTGTTTGAAATTGCTAGCTGCAGCTCGTTTCACCATGTGGTGGCGGCGCGGCGTCTGGGAGTCCGTCGCCTCATATTTCTCCCCGTAGATGTCGCAAGAGGCAACTAAAAGAAATGCTCCGAGGATCTAGTGGCATCAAAAAGATGACGGTAAAACAATTTCTTCTACATGCCAAATGTAATGTATAAAAATAAATTTTTATTTGTTCGTATATACTGCTGTACCTTTCATCAGATTGCGGTAAAACTTTGTTCACTTACTGATTGCACTTGTGCGAAGGTTATAGGCATAGTACAATAAACTGTGGTAGAACCACGCGGCAGCTTTTGCTGTCGCACGGATGGGCCGGCTCGAACCGGGGTGGTACCACAACCTCACAGAAAACCAGCGTGAAGTAGAGGTTTACCTCTGCGTTTCGCTTGGTGAGTGTAGGTGGCCGGAGGCCCTTTTTACTGGAAATGAGGCATTCCATCTTAGTCCTCACGGGTGACAACGCATCTACATTTTGATTTGTAATAGAGGATAGATGTAGATGTCTATGGGCCGCAGCAACCACTTACCGGTGGACTGTGTGCTCGTTTGTCACCCTTATCCTATTAAAAAAACTCACATTAGGTGGCGCGCGTAACGTACCGACAAATTTATTTGAAAGTCATATACAATATCATTCCTAACTAAACAATACAAGTCCACTGCTGAACATAGGCCTCCTTCCTTTTTTCCCCAACGGTTGTCGTTTTTTCGAGCTATATGGCCGGCCACTGCAGCTTACTAATCCCTTGGGCATGTCGGTCACTCTGGTTCTACTGCGGATATCCTCATTCCCAAATTTATCACGCAGAGAAATCCCGAGCATAGCCCTCTCCATAACTCGCTGAGCGGCCTTGAGCGTCCCCATACGGCCAGCAGTGAAGGACCACGTCTCAATTCCATAGGTCATCACTGGCAACACGCACTGGTTGTACAATCTCGTTTTCAGGTTTGGAGATATACCTGACAAGAAGATATGTCGTAATTTCCCGAACGCTGCACAGCCGAGTTGAATCCGTCGATTGACCTCTCGGTCAAAGTTGGACTTACCTAGTCGGACTATTTGTCCCAGGTAAACATATTCGTCAACAACTTCGAGTTTAGTGCTCCCAACTACTCCCGGCATTGGTGTAACATGGACTTTAAACATGATTTATTTTTTATAAGAGAGGGGGCAAACGACATGCAGCTCAGCTGATGGTAAGTGACTACCGCAGCCCATGAACAACTTCAACATCAGGGGAATTACAGATGCGTTGCCGGCCTTTTAAAAAGGAGTAGGCTCTTTTCTTTAAGGTCCCTAAGTCGTATCGCTCCGGAAAAATCGCTGGTGGTAATCGATTCCACAAGGAAGTTATGCGAGGAAGAAAACATCTAAATCGCACAGTGCTGGACCGCCAATCATCCAGGTCGTATGGATGGTATGGCAAGTTTTGTCGCGATGTGCGATAGTGAAATTGAACGGCTGGAATTAGTCCGAACAATTCCTCAGAGCACTCCCCATAGTAAATGCGATAAAATACACAAAGAGATGCAATATCTCTACGCAGTGCCAGTGAGTCAAGCCGATCGGAAAGAACTCAATCGTCGACGATTCAAACCGCTCTGTGCTGGATGCGGTCAAGTGGAAGGAGCTGGCACTGGGGAGCCCCTGCCCAGAGATGAGAACAGTATTCCATGTGAGGCCGAACTTGCACTTTGTAAAGTTGCAGGCGGTGTGCCGGCATGAAATACTGTCCCACTCTGCTGCGCACGCCAAGCTTTTTAGAGGCTAATTTGGCCTTCTCTTCCAAGTGACCACGAATCTGCACGTCACTCGATATGTCGACGCCGAGGATACCGATACTGGCTGAGGCAACAAGGGGGGAGTGCCTTGAAACTGAGGGGATACGACAAAGGGGTTCCTTTTAGCGGTAAACGCGCAAACTTGTGTCTTCTGGGGATTGAACTGGACTAGATTTAGTCGCCCGCAATCCGAGACTTTGTTCAACAAATTCTCGACTTCAGCCACAAGTTTGTTCCGGTACTCGGCGACGTTTTCCTGAGAAATACTGGCACGGCCGGTGTATAGAGTATCACCAGTGCTGTCATCTCCATAGCAATGTATGTTACCGGTTTGCAACTTATCATTGATATGCAGAAGAAACAGCGTTGGTGATAGCACGCAGCCTTGTGGAACACCAGCGTTAATAGACTTGTAATCAGAGCATGCACCGTCTACTACGACCTTGATGCTCCGATCAGCCAGAAAACTGGTGATCCAATTGCACAATTTCTCGGGAAGCCCATAGGAAGGAAGCTTCGAAAGAAGCGCTTTGTGCCAGACCCGATCGAAGGCCTTCGCTATGTCCAAACTAACGGCCAATGCCTCCCCCTTGGACTCGATTGCCTGCGCCAATCTATGTGTCAGGTAAACAAGAAGATCATCAGCAGAACGACCCCGACGGAAACCGTACTGGCAGTCACTAATCAGCTGGTGCTCCTCAAGGTACCGCATGAGCTGGCAGTTAATAATGAACTCCATTATTTTCGAGAACAAGGAGGTGATGGCGATGAGCCTGTAATTGGACGGATCCGAGCGGTTACCTTTTTTAGGGACCGGTGCACGAAAGCTGTCCTCCATGAATTCGGGACAACGCGTAGAGAGTAGGAGTACCGAAAAAGACCCGTTAGAACCGGTGCCAACTCTGGGGCGCACGTCCTCAACACAATGGGCGGGATTCCGTCAGGCCCACTCGACTTGTGGATATCCAGGGAGAGGAGTGCTTTGCGTACTGAGCACTGTGTGAATTGCACGTCAGGCATAGAGCACTCACACTGCGGGATAGTCGACGGTGTGTTCCTCCCGTCATCAAGAGTCGAGTTGGACGCAAAAAGGGAGCCTAAAAGGTGGACTTTCTCTTTTGTAATGTATGTGGTATAATGTTGGTGCTTGAAACATTAAAATTTTGAGATTTTTGAACGGATTTCGTTATCGTTTAAGTGAGTTATGTAAGTAAAAAGAGTCTGAACATTTTACGATTTGGGGCCCTCGGTTACACGAAACGGTCAAGCATTTGATATTTGTCAGTTGACTGTCTTGCTGGTCTAGCGATCATAACAGCGACTGTTGCTCACATGCTCTGTAGTCGGATCAAACATTAGTTATTGGATTCTTCTGTCAAGAAATTAGTAACAGCTCAGTCGAGTGTTTCATACCGGTATTTCAAAAAGTAAACGGTTATCCAGATAGCAATCGTTCCATCGGACTATGAGAGTGAGGGAATAGAAAATAAACCTGTGCTTTCGCACACACTTCTACACAAGACCTAATCCTGTCCTGCGCAGATATCTAATTTTCATTAAGAATGGCCTCCGTGATTGAAAATCCGGTCTGGAGGACATTATTATTTGTCAGTATTATTGGTACATTAGCAACATTATATTGCATGGTTGAAGGATAACTACTATTTTCCTGTTAGTAGGGTTGCCACCTATAATACAATTTGTGTTTGTTTATTGAGCAAAAATAATAATAGTAGTCCTCCAGTTGGAATTTCGGTCAGTCTCAACGGAGAACTGCCATCTGCGCAGGACAGTGTGGTAGTGATTGAAGGAGGTATATGCACTCTCTATCCGCCCGATCCGGGATTCGAACTCGGGACCTCAAAATAAGCCATCACGTTTACGACCACAAGGGAGTCACAAAAATAACGGAGAATCCACCTCAAAGTCCCCGTTATTACTGTGATACTAGGTGTTGAAGATGCTAGGAAGAAACGTCTAAATTGCTAAGTGTGTGGTTATCGCAATTCAACCTAATAGCGCCTTACCCGCGTAGTAAAATAAAATGATGTAATGATTTCTTATATTTACGTGAACACTACACGTTGAATAAAACTACTTTTACGGATTCTCCCCCAAAGGTCCCCGTGACCATGGGTGCTGTAAAGTACCCGGAAACGTCGGGAATCAATAAGAAACATGTTAATTAACGCGATAGAATCCGTAAAAGTAGTTTTATTCAATAAAATTATGTGTCTACCTAGTTTGAAGAGCACATCCCGCCCTCCCTCAATTGCGTGCGCTTTCCCCGTCACCACTAATCCCAGCACCACTACTGCCACGAGGTTTGTGTTTCGCCTCTACACGAGGCATCCTCAGGTGAAGTAGACTCTGCGGTGACTGACCGCTAAGCAGTGGACTTGTGAAGAACTGTGATGATGAAGATGATGAAATAAAGGCCAATATTTGCAACAAAGTATTTAATACAATTAAAATCACACAATTTCACAACAGCGGCGGAGCGACACAACGCGTCCTCACCCTCGCATCAGACACTATTTTTTTAATTTAATATTAGCAATGTTATTAACATTACTAATATTCACTTTAACCGCTTCAGGTTAGCTTAAAATCATCGATCACTAATTTAAAAAAACTAGATGCACAATCCCATGCAAGTTCTCTAAAAAAAAATACATTAATACAAATTCAACCTTAAATGCATTGTCTAAAGTTGTATTCAGAAAGCTACGTACAAATTAAAAGCCACCCGAATGTTCGAGTGGGCGCTCATTTGGTAAGGACATTTTTGTCATTGATTGTATATCTAGTTTTTTATTAGTGATCAATGTTTAAAATGCTTGTTAGGAGTGGTCCACGACAGTAGTCGAATGGCGGATTCGGACCCACGAGCTTTGAGTTCGCGGTCCGAACTCTGCATTAGGCTACTGTCGCTTTTACATTATTATTAATTTATTATTGTCAAATTATTATAATAATTTCAATAAATTAAATGGAATAGTTGACGCATCGCAATGAATTAATCACAAACACTTCTATGTATACCCACTGGACGGTCAATTCAGTACAAAAACGGTGTTATAGTATACAGTATATGCTATATAAATATGTTTTTAGGCAAATACGATAAAAAATTACATACTTAGTTACACGTTGACAAAGTGCGCACATGTCAAACAAATCAAGTTAAACAAAATCAGTGTTAGATTGTCTAAAGCATTTTTTTTGGATTTACAAAACAAAGAAATAGTCGTCTCGGCCGCTCGCGGTCGGTTAAAGGAGTAACGGAGCATTGAGCGTAACTTGGTGCATAATGCATTAGTACCGTAGTGCTCGTCTAGTGGTATGGGTAGTCTTTGATTAAACATTTACTTGTCATAAACGGTCAGTCAACAATAATTGTAAATAGGAAGACTTTATTTATCTAAGTCAAACATCACTTGCATAGCCGTCTTATACTGTGGCATCGGAGGCGGTAGCCTACCTACTATACCTAGCATTGCACATTGATTGCCGGTCGCAAAACAAAACATCATAATAAATTACAAGTATAAATTAATTCTGTTTTAAAATTCAAAAATAAATATTACTTATGTATTCATTTTTACCAAACAACTGTCGGAACAATATATTATGTATCCTATGCAAGGTCAATGTATGCATTATTTTACATGTCATATTATAGATTTAGTTGATTGTGGAATTTCATTTCAACTCAAAATATTATCAAAATACAAATTTTAATATTTATTTATTTCACACATTTTTAGATTTCTCCAAAAAATTCTCCAAGTTTTCCAAATAAAACATAACCTTGATCTCTCCTGGTATTGCTCTCTGTCTGTATATAATTCGAAATATTTTATTACAATCGGTTTAGCAATTCTGGAGATTAGGCCAGACAAACGAAAAGATAAAATTTTTAAAAATGGTTATACAAGTCTTAATGACAGGTAAATAACTCCTATAGCTATAAAAGGCAGTTATTTAAATATTACAGACAGACACTTCAATTTTATTTATATGTATAGACATGCTACTAAAGTATTCGTCTGTAAATAATACACATTGGGTTTTAGAAAGAGTCAAAAAGCAGTCTGTCGAACGAAGTACTAATCAACTTGAAAAATTTAATAAAAGTGGAGCGACTATAAGAATCGTTCAGAAACAACTGACAGAGATAACACTCTGCAAGCCCGAAGCTCGTTACACGTAACACAGTGTATAGTCTGGCTCCAGTCAGTTCCTTCTTTTTACAGTTATGCCACCACTCAATACCATAAAATAATATTATTTTATATATTTTAAGTTTACTATAATTTTAAATCTTTACTATTTTAAAATTTTATTCAAATTTACTTCACATTTTCTTAACTTCAACAGACTTAATCTGGCACGTGTGGAATGATCAAACTGTACAAGGTAATTATTTTAAATAACCTTAAATTACACACCTACATACAATTTAAATGGCAGTTATATGCTTCTTTATAACAACTGTAAAGCACACACATTATGCAAGTACAGGGTGTCCCGTGGCAGATGTAGGATTTGAAATTGGAATATTTTTGCAACGGTTGCGCGGGGGCCGGGGTGGGGTGGCAGCTTGGCGCGGCGCACTGCGGAGTGCGGAGTGCGGAGTGCGGAGTGCGGAGTGCGGAGTGCGGAGTGCGGAGTGCGGAGTGCGGAGTGCGGGCTGCTCGATCACGACGGCGCAGTGGAGTGGCGCGCACCGCGCTTTCGCACTTGAAGCGCATTTTGAACCTAACAAATCGTGCACTGTTGCTCGCCGGACATTTTGTTCTCACTACAATATCCGTCGCTTAAGTGAAGCACCGAGTCAAAGTTTCATTCTGACGTGGGTCCAGAAGTTCCGTGCAACAGGTTCAACAGTTAACGAGCCACGCCCAGGTCCTAGCCGAACGTCGAGGACTGCACAAAACATTGAACGCGTTACAAACAGCGTGCAAGAAAATCCCCGCCAGTCCGTATGCAAGAGAGCGTCAAGTTTGCGACTTCCAAAAACCACGGTACATCGTATTTTAAGCTTGGACATTAAATTCCACCCCTTCAAGATCGAATTGGTACAGGCACTTAAACCAAATAACTACAGAGAACGCAAAAAGTTCTGTGATAACATGTTGAGCCGATTCCGTACTGTTAACACAATTTGGTTTAGTAATGAAGCTCATTTTCACTTGAATGGTTTTGTGAATAAACAAAACTGCCGCTATTGGGTGCCAAAAGGACAAAACCCGCGATTAAAACACCAACAAGCATTGTATAGCCCAAAAGTAACTGTTTGAGCAGCTCTTTCTTTCAATGGAATAATTGGACCGTTTTTCTTTGAGAATTCTCGTGGAGTAACCGTAACTGTTGATGGTGATGTCTACCGCCGCATGCTTAGCGAATATTTTATTCCGAAACTAAGAGAACATCCATCGAACAGCTCTCACACGTAGTTTCAACAAGATGGCGCCACGCCGCACACAGCAAAAACCACCATGAGTCTCCTTTGCGAAGAATTCCCCGGAAAATTGATTAGCCGATTTGGAGACATCGCATGGCCACCCAGATCGCCAGATCTCACCCCATTAGATTTTTTCTACGGGGTTACTTAAAAGGAAAAGTGTACGACAGCAACCCAAGGCATCTATCGGATTTAAAAGAAAATATCGTGCGAGAAGTGAAAGCTATTCCTCTGTCAGTATTGCAGCCCGTCGCTCAGAATACTCTCGAAAAATTCCGCGAGTGTACGTCGCGATGGAAAACATTTGGACGGAGTGATATTCAAAAAATGAAATCCGCATGTCTCGTCTTTCTTTTCATGACAAATATATGTATATTCTAAAAGAATAACCTTCTTTAATTGAATCAAGAAATCCTAAATCTGCCACGGGACACCCGGTAGTAGTATTAATAATAAATAAAATTAATAAAAACAATGATGAAAATACCAACGAGGAAAATTTCAAAACAGTTACATTGTTATGTTTGAATTATTAAAACAATTTTACTGTTATGTCATTGTGACATGTCGGCGGATGAGAATTAATTCTTGGTTTAACCAAGTTGACTCTCTACAATCGTAAACGTTAATAGCAAACTGTTAAAATAAATGGGAATTATGCATCTCAATTTTAAGCCATGTCACGTGTCGACTGTCACATGATTTTAGAAAGTCGATATGGCAACCCTGCTGGAGTATTTATAAATGTAATTCATAGTAATTCCATTTCATTATACAAATATACATATAATAAGGCACTTTAATAAACACAATTAGAGCCTATATCTAATTCCACGTCGGCCACAGGGTAATTACATATTAAAAACACTCACGAAACAAGCACTCATTTGCTCCCACAAATTAAAAAACCTATCGGTAGTTTAAAACTATTTTGGCTATCATCACTATTTCACAACAGGAATCAACATTAATAAGTACGTAACATGTTGCCGGAGAATGTCAGCGCTGTCCAGGTTACAGTTCCGCGTGCAACTCTTCTTGGCTGGCCTCGTCCACTTCTTCTGGCTCGTCCGCGTCGTGGACCATTTCAGGCATCATCTGCTGTTGCGGCAGCCCACCGAATCCGTAAGGGTCCGGACCGTGGATCTGGAACACGTTGTACTTGAGAGAATGTAGCCGAAAGTGATCGATTTCGGCTACAGAAACAACTTTCTAACACTGTCTTACTCTGTAATACCCCAAAAGAATGCCACAAAGCATGGTGCTGAGTCACCTCCATCCATTGACTTCCTGCATGTCTCACCAGGTCGTCTCTATTTGGAGGACGCCCTACACTTCGCCTACCAGTACGATGCTTCTGCTTGAGAACCTTCTTCCTCATCGGTTGTCGGTCCTTCGAGCTACATGGCTGACCCATTGCCACTTCAGCTTACTGATCTGTTAGGCTATGTTGGTTACTCTGTTTCTACTATGACTACTTCTACTCAATTCTAAATCTATCACGCCAGGGAAACTCCGAGAATAACTTTCTTCATAGCTCGCTGAGCGACCTTGAGCTTCCTCATATGGCCAGCAGTGAAGAACTATGTCGTCGAGATTCGTTATCAGGATCTGATCCTGATTACGAATCTCACCTATTTCAGAATAATCTTACAATGAATAAAGAAGCTGTTTATTATTAACAACACTACATTCACCTACCTTCACATACTCCGCTTCCATCTCCGCGGTCCAGGTGGTGTCCTCCTCGGTGGGCAGCATCCACTCCTCACAGTACTTGGTGTGGTTGAAGCAGATCTGAAATTCACATGCAATTAATGCATTATTATTTGTACATTTTACACTTCAGTTAATTTAAACTCTAGCATCCATTTCGTACCAGATGCAGAGTCAATAAATTCAATGTTTGTTTGAATTATTGATAGAAACATCACACCCGAAAAAGTATGTAAATTAATAATGTCATCAGTATGTAAAAATCCAGTGCTGGACCACAGACCTCTACCATCTTAAGGAGGATTTGGTCGATTGCAATACCAGATATGTCGCGCTTTTGAAGCTGTTGCCCATCGTTACCAGTTTCAGTATAAAGGATAGTTTCACCAGTTCGAGGGTACCAACTCTGAACTCACCGATCCTGCCAAGCTTGAGGAGTATGGACAAACCTTTAGCACAGTAGTGAATTTCAGAGCATGATGAAATGAAATAATAGCATCTATAATGATTATACAATAGAAAATGCCTATTGAGATGGCTGAACGGATCAGTAAGTAGAAGTGACAACAGGCCGGCCATATAGTTTGACGAGCCGACAACTTATGGGAAGAAAGGTTGGAGAAAGCTGGTGTAAAGGCCTCATACCAGTAATAATGTCGTCCAGACCGAATTTCGGTCACGGCAGCTCGTTTCAACGGAGACTAGCTACTCCAGACTACTGAGAATTTCTTGTCGGAAAACCCCAATAACTGAATTTGGTACGACCCGGGACTCGAACCCGGGATCTCATGGTCAGCAACCTCGTTTACGAGCATTAGACCAACAAGGCAGTCAAGTACTAGTGAGCAGTGTAAGGCGGCCTCACAGCCTCACACTACATGCAGAGGACACTGATGTTGACAAGGTTTTCCTATATGACCTGCTAAGTTGAGCATCATTTTGATGCGGGAAGCTGAATGGTTCAGGTGGTTTAGAACCGTGTTTGTTGTGCACTTTTATGTATACTACCCGACAGGCTATTCAGGACAAAACTGTGGCACAGCTAAGAACATGCCACGGAGTTTAGCTTCATTAATGACAGTTACTGTTTCATGGCAAATACGAAATAAAGTTACATGCTTGTTTGAAATAAACTTTAAATCACGTTGACAAAACGCGCACATAAATTATGACAGAATTTTCATTAAACAAAGTCAGTGTTACATTGTCGAAAACAATGTTCGCGGTTTACTAAACAAAGAATTAGTGTGTTCGGCCGCCCGTAGTCGACTAAAGGAGTAACGGATAATTGACCGTAACTTCTGCGTAATATTTTCAAGTGGTAGAGCCCGTCTAGTAGTACACGTAGAAGTCTTTGGTTTTGTGTCGTTCCTTGCGGGAGGCGTATGAATAATGAAATGGGACGAGAGCGTAGTGTGGGGGTGAGGGTGGGGGAGATGATGATGGGTTGGAAACTGACCGCGCGCTCGGCGTCCGGCATGATGTCGTCGTGCGGCCGCTCCTTGTACAGCTGCGTGATCTCGTCCTCGTTTTCCTCGAACATGCGCTCGCACTGCAAACACAACACAACCATTTTTACCAACTATATATTATAATAATTATACTTATAAACGTCAATCTATGATTATATTACCACTGGTTTGGAAGATACCTCTTTCCTGGTAAGAACCAGCAAGACGTTTTTTTTTAAATAGTAGTTTTACAACCATTGAATAGGTTACACAATTATTAACAACACAAAACAAATTAGAAATAGCTTGGTAGTGATCACCTCATTCCAGGAGTTATTGTCATCCACAAATTCCTTAATATTATAATAACCCTTTTTAAACAATCTTTGTTTAATAAAGTTTTTGAACTTGACAGAAGTCAGTTTTTGTATATTTTCTGGAATTTTGTTGTAAAAGCGTATACATTGCCTCAAGAATGAATTCCTGACTCGGTGGAGTCGAATAACTGGTACTACTAGCTTGTGTCTGTTCATAGTATTTACAGAATGAATATCATTTATTTTTATAAACTATTTGTATTTTTGTGTACGTACATTATATTTTCGTGAATATATTGTTGCGCGCCACTATTAATGCCTTGTGCATGGCAACACTAGTTACACTAGCGCCCTCTAGTGTCGAGTAGCAGAGCTAAGAGAGTCAAGATCCTTCTAGAAACTTCGGGACCGATATGTACTCGAACATTCTAGATGTCGCTACAGTAGAAGGTTCTGGAAACTATCTGAGGCCCTATATAAGGCCGGTATAGACCACGACCGAGGTAGTATTGAATTGGCGATACAAGAGAATACTTCGAAGCGAAATAACGGCGAACTGTGTTTTATTATTAGTGTGATTTTAAGTTGTAATTAGTGTTGTGTAATTAAAGTCAATTTTGATAATTCACTCGGCAGTTTTTAATTATCTCGAACCCCAAGCTCGTAACAATATTGACAGACCAAAGTTAATATACTCGTATTATTAATTTCCTTAAATTTTTGTCTTAGACTCTTTAGGTTTTAAATCATATATTGCTCCTATGGCCCCCTTCTGTAGAGCACACAAACATTACCGCCACGTCCTTTATTGTTCTACACCAATTGTATCTCAAACCGAAAAGTAAAAGTATACAAAGCGCACAACATGCACGTCAGTAACAGCAGGGTTAGTCAATTAACTATATCAATTGTTAACACAAATACAAAATTAATCGCTTGCAGTAACAATAAATTAAAGAAATACATAAAAATTTATAAATTGCAAAAAAACATAAAAAACAAAATAAGTATTAAAAATCATGGTAAGTTATGTAAAGAAAAACAAGAATTAATTAATTAATTAGGTCAAAATATATTCAATTGAGGTGGTTGACATGGAGTATCTTAATTCAGAAAATTTTTTCATTTCATAATGCACTACATGTTATGACAAATAAATATAAATCAGCTCAAAATGAAATAAAGGAATATATAGATACTGGCCATGGACGAACTGGTGACACTGAGTAAATATAATGAGCAATGTTTTGAGTCATTAGTAAAACATCAGCGTGAGTGTCAGCGCTCATTACCTGTTACTTCAGGGACAGTATGTGTTAATAATATGGAGAAAAAGAATCCCTCTCCTATTTATAAACTACCATGAGAGTTCCAGAACAATAAATAATTTGAATAATTTAAATTTTAGCAAAAATAATATTGTTGTGTAGTGATGATATAGGTAAAAACTTAGGTTTAGTATTAAATAACTGTCTAAAGGAACACCAAATTACTAATTTTTGTATGCCTGGAGCAACATTTTTAGCCAAATTATAAATAAAATTCTAATAAGTAGCCACACTCCTAATAGTATATTTATACTTCTTATTGGGAGAAGAGGCAATGTGAATAAAAAACAATTATTGGATTATATTGAAATTCTAAATAATTTAAATGTTCACAAGATTGTTTTGTTTACATTGCCTTACTTATGGGGTCTGCCACAAGAAAATAAATTAAGACATGACTTAAATATCCAAATGAATAATTTAATATGCAATAATAATGTAAAACTGACATATAATTGTAATAATTATTAATTTCATTTAATTGACTTAAATAATTTAATTAAGAAGTTTTTGACAAGAGATAGGTATTACCTATCAAAGTATAGTTTAAGACTGGTAGCAAATATGCTATCTTATTTATTATATTTTAATTCAGCCAATGATTTGGCTACCGTGACACTAGCTTCTTTTGAGCAACAAAATAATTTTACATTTGATTTGGAACCAGTTTGAAGTAATTTAAATTAGATAATAAGACAATAGAGGTAATCTCTAGCAAAGATAATTTAAATAGCTTAGAATACAACTTACCAATACATAATTGTGTAATTTCACAAAATAGCAATAATAAAAACTGTATCAACCTGGTGCAATAAAATATTCAAGGTATGTTAGGCAAAGAATTAAAAATTGAATTATTTTTAAATAGTAACAATATACGTATTTTATGTAAGTATTACTGAACATTGGTTGAAAGATTACAACTCCATAATTAATTTCAGTAATCACCACGTGGTCAGTTCGTTCAGTAGAGATACTAAATTACGTGATGGCTCCTTAATATTAGCTAATAAATCCTTATCATGTAAAGAATGTAAAGATATTGTGAGCCTCTCTGTTGAGCGTACTATAGAAATGGCATGCGTTGAGCTTGAGCACCTTATTGTTGTCAGTCTTTACAGACCCCCATGTTCAAGTTATGATACGTTTGGAAAAATTATGGAAGAAGTTTTAGTTAAGCTTTATAAACAGAATGTTTGAAAAAATTATGGAAGAAGTTTTAGTTAAGTTTTATAAACAGAATAAATCTCTTGTAGTGTGTGGAGACTAATACCAATCTCTCCTGGAAACTTCCTCCATCAGTATTGAATTTTGCTCTTTGTTCAAATCACGTAATCTTGATAATTTATTCTTTGAAGCTACACGTATTGCAGGGTGTAGTGCAACTTGTATTGATAATATTTTTACAGGTGTTGTACCAATCAACAAATCAATAATTCAAAAACTTAGTTTAGATCACCATGGACAACTGGTTTCATTACCTTATATGCACAAAAAACAGGTAATTGAGAAAATTGTGTTTGTTCCTATTAATGCAAAACGCCTGGAGAAATTTAGAAGTAATATGGTAAAAAACCTTCCATCGCTTTCTTATAAGAACAATTCAGACTATTTATATGGAGAATTATTTACCCTTATAAGCAATGAATTTAATAAAACATTTACTTCGAACACATTCTCCTGAAACAGTCGCAAGGCATTTAATGAGTGAGCGACAGTAGGAATTCATAAAAGCAGACGAAAGTTATATGACCTTTACCATGAAAGATCATATAATCTTTCCGATGCTTTTAAAGAGTATGTCAAAAATTATTCTAAAATGTTTAAAATGTTTGCTCCAGCCAAGTCGTTACATATTAGCAACAAAATTAAGACGGCTAAGAATAAAATTAAAATGACGTGGAGTATAATTAACAGCGAAACCGGTAAAGG